TGGGACGGGACGAGCTGCGCAGCCTGGCTGTTGCCGGAGGCATCAGAGCGAAGCTAGGCGACAGATGGCTGCCGGTTATACAACTGCGCTCTGCGTTGATGGAAGCCTTGGCACCAACAGAGCAGGCTCAGTCGCTGTGTTTCGGGTCTAGATAGGTATGTGCTTCCAAGGTTACATGGTACCTGTTCTGTTTCGTCACGCCGGCGCGATGTTGGAAGTTGCTGTTTTTGCTCATGGAACTTGTTTTTTCTATGCGTTGTTTCAGGCGAGCTCGTCTTTGAGGTCTGTAGCGCAAGCTCGATGGGAGGAGTTCCGCAACAATGCCGTGAACCAGGGGGCGGAATGGCTGCGTGCGTGGACGTTTGGAACAGAGGAGAGCGGTAGAGCTGCGCAGCGTAGGCGTTGCCGGAGGCATCGCAGCGAGGACAGGCGATGGATGCCTGACGGTGACGCATCTGCGCTCTGCAATTGATGGAAGCCTTGGCGCCAACAGAGCAGGCTCAGTCGCGGTGTTTTTTGGTATAGATAGGTATTCGCTGAAAAGTGTACATGGTAGATGTTCTGTTGAGTAACGCCTGCGTGATGTTGGACGTTTGGAATAGATGGACGGATTTGATACCATGCCTCCCCGCGGCTCAAGAACTGGGTAGCCGCGACTCCGTGAACTTTACTGTCATTGTTGTTTTCAATGTAGTAGGTGCTAGGGGTCTTTCACAGGGATCAGACGTTCGCCTTTGGTAGTCATGGCTCTGGCTACTGACGCTCTCGAGAGGAGACCGCAGCGAGAGCAGGATATCAGAGACGCTTATGCTGATAAGAACCGGTGGACTGCTTTGGATTATGTCACAGACCAACACGACTACAGCTTTAAGTCCATAGAAGCGTGGCCATTTGGATGCTGCTGTCATTTACAGGCCTACGGATCGAGCAGCGCTGTTGCTTGGAAGTTTGAAAGCTGCGTGTAGCTTGGAAGACATTGTGGAGACCACCTCTTTGAAGGTCACTGTGGTGGTCACCATGTGCGCGCAGGAGATGAAGATCGCAGGCACACCGACCGACTGGACGAAATACTTTCAACAACAAGATGTGTTTCACATCCAGTGTCACTTGGAGGACACGACATTGAAGCCGGCAAGGCGTTGGCTTGAGCAGATTCCGGACTGGGTGGCTTCCTGTTTGCGACAGTGGAAAATCGTCTGCAACCAGTTGTGGGAACAGTCCATGCTGGCGGTCGCCGGGGACAAATCCATGCACGTGCTCTTTCACTGCTTTGGCGGCACCAATCGGAGCGCGGGGATTTTGTGCGCTTGGCTCGTTGTCGCTTACGAGCGCTCCGCATTGGAAGCCGTGCAGTTGCTGCTTCAAAAAAGACCAGCGTTGCGTCCTTGGCGCAATCGACCCTATGTCTTGGAAGCGTTGTGGCGCCTGGAAGGTTTGCGCGTGGAATGGCAGAGAGACTCAGCGCAACGCACCGAGACTAATTCATGTCGCGGGTCGTCAGTCGAGACTGTTCGGGACGAAACTACGACATCATCGCTCAAACGACGGGATCCGCCGCTGCCACAAAAAGGGACATGACGTTATATAATATGTGTCTACTTCACCTGCGTGACAAACGATGTGCAGTTGGAACGCACGAGTCACTTGTCCTGATCGTAACGTCGTTTGCTCTCAGGTCGCAGTGTTGGTGGTTTGAAGGGCCTGTCCGTGAGAGTGGAGCTGATGACTTGAAGCGCACTTACTGCGTACTTTCTGTTTGATACTTGAAGTCAGACTGACTTGCTTTGAGCCTCTGCTCGCAGGATATCTGCTCGCCGCTTGTTCTAGGGACCAGGGTGAAGCGCACACAAATCCATTTTGTGTGCGCTTCGACCTGCTTACGGTTTACTCCGTTTTTTCTTGAAGTGGGAATGACTTGTTTTGAGCCGTTTGAAGTGAGACTGGCTTCTTACGAACCTAAGACATATCTTTTCTCTCGCCTCTGTCCATTTACATCTTCGCACGCTCGCATCCACAGATCTACCTCTTCACCTCCATACATCTACACATCTGTATCGCACCTGCACATCCACACTGTCACTCCTTCACGTCCATCCTTTCTTTCTCTCTTTCTATATATCTTTTCCACAGTGCTGGACAATCACATGTCTCGCTCTCGGGCCACCCGTCGTCTAGTATGAAGCAACCTTCATTGAAACTCAATACTTTAACTCAGGACGCTTATGCAGAGATTGGCGTTCTTCAATATTTGTGCGATGCCGCAGTTGATTGACTTGACGGCTTTACACCATGCCATTTGCGCTTCGGGTGGCCGGTGAAAAGCTGCAGGTCAAAGCAACCAGATCTTCCAGAATACTTGTTCTGGGCTTACATTGCTTGAGCTGGCTTGCATCACCTCGGACCAATATGGCTGTTGATGACAGTCGTTCTGCTGGTGTGAGGTTGAAACTGTTGGCAGCTTTTATAGATGACTCCAAAATGTTCCTTGGACATGACGGTGCTGACTTGAACAAGTTCTTGTGTAGGTTGCAGTGTGTCCTTTGCTTCTTATCTCCGGTGATGAAGCTTTGCTTCTTACCTCCTTTATAATTTGCTGATTCTGTTCGGCAGATGGCTTGTCATGGAAATGGCAGATGGTGGTGAGCTCTTGGCCGAGAGCTCAAGTCTCGTTTGAATAGTATTTGTCGATTTAGCTTAATGGTGTTTTTACAGAGTTATCATTTGTTTTAGTGAAGTGAAATGTAAAAAACAGTAGTCTTCATGAACACTAGTAGTACTGGTAACACTAGTGCGGAGTGAATTGAGCAGCTAGATCTTCAGCGCCTTTTTCAGGATGCAGTCCTGTCGCAGAAGGTGACCCATGGCCCTCAGACGAAGCATCTTTGCTACATCTATTTTTACATGGAATCTACAAATCTTAGAATCTAAAGCTGTACAGGTTGGACCCCTGTTGATTTGTGAGATGAGAGCAGGCAATATCTTTGGCAGACATTAAAAGCAGTTTGGCTCTCAGACTTAAAGTGTGGAAAGGCATTGAGCATGTGCCTTCAACACAGTCAGTTGCAAGAGCTGGCTGCAAAGGTTCAATATCTTCATGCTCATTGCATAGGTGGAATTCCAGAGCATGTTTAGCAGAGAGAACAAGTTCTGTTTGGTTCCAGGTCATCGTGACATCTCCCTAGAAAATCTGCTGTTGAAAGCGGGAACCATCAGGCGAACATTTAGCATTTCGATTCTTTATGTCCTGGAAACACGGCTTTGCTGCTCTTGCAAGGCTTGTGGATTTTGGCAATGCGGTGCAAAGTTCCGAGCTCAGAGTCCAGAATTCAATGCTTTGCCTTTCGCTCTACAAATGCGAAAACAACTGTTGAAGAGGCCACTCCTCAACTGGACAAGAACTGCGATACTTTCTCACGGTCCCACTCTCAGATGGATGTACTTTTGCGCACTCGCAGCACGACATGAAATGTCGGTGATGGGGACAGCCATGTGCAGGTTGGAAAGGACACCTATCGAGCACCAGAGTGCATTGTACCACGTCGCTCAAGAATTGCGGCAGGATGCTTGGCAGTGCTCAACAGCAGACTTTGCTGAATCAAATCACTGAGAGCTACTGGATGAAGTAACCCCCGGCCAAAGGTCACTGTGCCAGAGAAGGCAAGTGCTGGAGACATCATTATGACTCGAGAATCGGGCGGGCTGTTCCAGGCCGGTTTTTCGAAAGAAAAGATCCCAGGTTGTTAAGGCTAAAGCTTTGGTTGTCAAGGCATAGGCTAAGCAGCTCAAAGCTGAGTCAGGTTCGTCTGCCCCAGGGAGCCACGCGTGGTCAGTCTGCTCAGAACCCACGAATGTCCACAGACGGACCCCAAACATTTGCTCATTCTGAGGTCAGCTTTGCCAAGCGCAAGTTTGGGGTCAGTGTCTCAGAGGTACAAGTCTAGCTTCAAACTCTGAGACCAACTGTTTGACATTGTGGTAATCTACACTGTCAGCAGCAAGCTCCGGTTGTAGCAGCAACCATTTCTGGAGATTTCAGGTGTCAAGAGACACCAAGAACACTAAATCCTGAGGATATGCTGTTCAGCCTGCAGACATTTTTTCATGTGGCGCATTCCTCAGATCGCGGCGTGCACATTTGGACAATTCCTTCAATCTATCCCAATAGGTCTTGGACGCGGGGCGGGTGAGAGTTGGAGAAGCGCTTGATTTTATTTAGACTCTGACCCAGACAAGCAGTCAACTCTCGCAGAGGTTGCAACTTTGCACCGAGAAGCCTGTTCTGACTGTGACTGAGGTGTTTGCTTTTTCTGTATGAGCCAGTATCTCAGCATGTCTCGAGTCTATTAAAAGCTTCAGTGCACGACTCTTCAAGGCTATGGAAGTGGCCCTTGGATCAATGCCCAGCTGAATGATGATTTCTTTGCCTTTGTTTACACAAATGGAGATAATGGCTTGAAGGACCGATGAGTTGATTGCGTCGATTGGCACTTTCTGTGGTTTCTCCAGTGGTGCTTTGAAATTCCATTATATTGCCATCTCTTTGTCAGGACCTGCTTCGGCATTGGGGCAAACCGTTGCTTGAGGATGAGGAGGGGTGGTCTCGCTGAATGACTTTGATCATGCCTCAAAGTGAAAGAACCGGACACGTGCAACAGTTCTGTTTGGCAAGTCTTGATCCCTCAACAACCATGGCCATGCATTTCTGTCCTACCTAACCCGAATGCAGCCACCGGATACTTAACCCATACCCAGTTTCGGGGCAGAACAGGCATGCTTGCTCCATATCGGCAAGGAATGGGCCACAAGGGATCCTATCAGTTGTTTTGTTGGGCGGGGAATGGGTTCTGTTGTCCTATTATTCAGTCAATGCCAGCACAAACAGCAGCCTGATTTGACCAATTGACTGTTAAAACAGGCAGCACCCGAGAAGATGACCGATTGGATTGGAATGCAATTATTTTGGGAAAGGGAAACAGGTCCTTGGGGAGCCGCTTTACATTATATATAAATTCAAAATTGTTTGCGGGGACTTGGCTTCAAAACAAATTGGTTTGCGGGACCCTGCGTAAAGGCAAAATGCTCTATGGAGAGCCGGTGTAAAAGCAAAATGGTTTGCGGGGACCCTGTTTGAAGGCAAAAAATCTTTACGAGGACCGCTTGAAATGCACAAATATTTGAGTACGCCTCCCACCGACCGAAAAATAGTAATGGCGGCGGGGGGTTCGGAGTGGTGGTTGCCCTAACGTTGGAGCAAGACATGGTGCCACAGGAGACAAACACAACCTGGAGTGTGAAAGCAATGTTCAGAGGAGGTGGTTCGATGAAGGTTCCTGGATGTGCAAAAAGTGCGGAAGGTTGGAGGGCAGAGGCCTCGAGCCGAACATACTTCAAGGTGATGCTCCGGAGAATTCAGCAGGTTTTTGTGCCAGAGGAGGGCCCTGAGAGTTTTGGAAGATTCTTGTTTATTTTATTTTATATTTTGAAAGAACCAGGTTTCAACACAGGCTGTAGCTGCGCTACTTGGCAGAAAAGGAGCTGCAATTGAGCCGATGAGTTATATTGCTTTATTCGAGCCTTTCTAATTGCTCACCAGTAGACCTTTCATGGCAGTGTAGCTCCGTTCAATTCTCCTTCTGCATTGATTCTTCGCATTGCGTTGCGTTCTGCTTTCCATGCAGTTTCTATGCACGTTCGCAGGCCATGGAGCTTTTGTTGCACATGATTCGTGTGGATCCTTTGGCCAGACCGGCAGCCATGTCCTGAGATCATCAGATGCAGAAAAATTGGAAGAAAGGTCTCAGGCCTAGAGTCTAGACCTTAATTTTGACCTGTAGGGGCCTCGGCCTTTAAGCGAGTGAGTTGCTCTTCGGTAACTTATTTAAACTTGTGGCCTTAGCTCCAACAGACCCGAACCGAAGAACCAAACGCCATGTGCAAGAAAGCTTCTTTAGTTCAATGGCCGTTTCTGCCTTTTGAGAGTTCTGCCAAGGCAGCGAGCTGCTTAGGAAGCAGTTGGTCGTCTTCCCAGCCAAACTGCAAGAAGACAGACGCATGTTTTCCGGTTGTTACTTGCAACACTTTGCAATTGGTACTCAAGTAACAGACCTAAGCCTCTCTTGTCGCTTCTGTGTTCTTCCGTGTTTGCACCACCAAGCGTGTCAGGTTCAAAGACTTGGAGGAAGCCAGCCACCAGAGTGTGGAGATGCTTTAGCCGTTCTATCTGCAGAACCCGTGTCTCGCGGCTCATTCTCGGATGATTCTCCGTGCAGCGTTTGCGCTGTGCGGACCTGTGCTGTGTGCTAGCTATTAGAGTGTGGGAAGCTGCGCTCCTAACAGCATAAATGCCCCTTACTTGCTCGTGTGTATATATATATATGTGCATACGGAAACTTAGACTATATGTTTGCAGAGTCTGTCCAAGAGGTATTTCTTTCAAACCCGTACCTTAGTATTTTCATTTGCTTCATCTGGGCGAATGATGCATGACACGTCGTCGTGTGTGAACTTGCGTCATCAGCTCCTAAGCGAGTTAGCGCGGACTGCATCCGCTTTGTAGCAGTGACTGGCATTAGCTGGGCAAACTGTTCGGCTGAGCTTTACTTTGTAGCTCGAGCTCTGTTTGAGCCTCGTGCAGTGGCTCTAGCAGAGTCAAGTCTTTGCGGCCCTTGTGGCTGCAGCTTGGCCAGCCCCCGAGTGGTGAGCTTTGCTGGATTTCTATTGTCCGTCAGCCACTTGGTTGCATTTTAAATGAACAATAATTGTACCTGCATTACCTGCATTGACCACAGAGAAGCGACTCCGCGACAATCCAAGGTCTTCCCGGCACGTTGTACAGACCATGTGCTGGTAGCCGTGTGGGCGAAGATGCTCAATTTTGACAAGAACCATCAGCCTTGGTAAGCAGCGGGGGTAGGTGCGCGCATGCATATGTGTATGCGTGCATGGGAAAGGAGATAGGTCTTGGAAATGGTTGTAAAGAAAGCTTCAGAGGTCTTCGCGTTGAGCTTCGCCTTCGTATAAAGATGAAACACATGCGCCCCTGACGCTCGCTGCTTCAAAGCTATGGGACCCACTGTGTTGCTGACACTCAAAAGTGGGCTGGTAGGATGCATGGGTAGCACTGATTGCATCAGCACTTGCTTTTATATAAGTCTGCTCAATTTGATTATCACTGACTTTTAGTTAGGCAACTGGTTTCAGTGTTGTCCCTTCTTCTCCTCAGTGCTACATTTTATTTGTATGACGTAACTACGACCTATCCTATGTTTGCAGTTCAACATGAACACAATGCCCGTGGTCATTTTCCAGCTTGCCCACGCCGCTCTTCAGTCGATTTAAGACAAACAAAGCCCCACGGTCGACCCCATCCAGTTGGAAAGCAAGGGATGCAGTTTTGCCCAGGAGAGCAGTAGTTTCGGAAACTTCCAATGACTCCGAGCGGAAAGAATGGCATTGATTGCTCATGTTAAGCTCTGCAGCAGCCGACAAGTTTAATTGGATTGGCAAATGGCAACATTTGCTGTGGTCGTGACCTGCGGGAGAGTGCAAAGGGAGCTTTTCTGCTTTAATTTCATGACGCATGGACTTTCAATGCAGCACATTCAACATGTACCAAGGTGTTTGACAAAAACACGGCTTCACATGAAGCAAACGACTGGTTGTGAGATGTTGGACTTTGTCCTATGCGTTTCCAGCGGAAACCAGAGTACGCAGACAGTAGCACTAGCACCTTCTACGTCTTGTGCATCTCTCCACTGCATCCTGGACCTTTCTTTCCCTTTCTCAAGGACGCTACTAGTAGCTCCTGGCATCGCTACTAGGAGCAAGGACGCTACTAGGGGCTCCTGGCCATACTACTAGTAACAACAAGCTACTAGAGAAAGGTCCAGGAAAAAGGTCCAGGGCGCCTGCACTCGGCGGCGGTTGTACTTTGTCGATTTCAAACCTCAGTGGGCTTTGTCCCCAGAACAAATATTCTGTGGCATGCTGAGCCAATGAGCAAGATTTTTGGACCCCGAGTTTCCCAAACACTGGATTCCACAGCGGGTACAGGACTTTGAACATTGCACGATGTACCTCAGTTTCCTTAATGTCACCATGTTTTGGCAGGCCTTGCTAGCTTCAATAGTTGACGCTGGCTCCTTTTGTACGAACGCCCGTCCTGGTTGCTGCCCTGACCCCTCTGCTTCTGTGTGTTTGTTTGCTTGTTTGTTTGTTGACTTGCAAGCCCTTTACAAGAGTGCTTCCACGATTGCCCTTGAAATGGAGGAACATGGTTTGCTCTCAAAGATGCGCCTTGCGAATAAGCTTCCCAAATCCACTAGTGACCTTGAGAATTCGCAAGCCACCTTTGCAACAGTGCCTGGTGAACATCGTACGTCGTGGTTTGTCCCTTAAAGCTTAGGGTCGATCACCTTCAAGTGTGTCTCGGCCGGGCAGAAGGTTTGGGCACATAGATGTTGGATTCTCCTGGCATGAGCTGAGCATGTGCTGGTGTTTCTGGAATGGTTCATGACTTGCTTGTCACTTCGCATGAGCAGTGGTCGATCAGGTTCAGACTCTAGACAGAGATTGGGAATTCATAAAAACAATTATACTTTTTGAGCCCCCAAAGCTAGGTTTCGGGGGGTTATATACTTTTCCAAATGAGCATAGCTTGCCAACGCAATCCCAATGAACCCATTCAAAGTCAGAATTCCACAAAAATTTCTTATGTTTAGGCACGGTGAGGGTCCATCTTCACGGGATTTCAGCAAACTTGTGTCTAGCTGTGGTGAAAAGCAACACACCTAAACACATTGGCAGTGCAAAACTAACTGTAGTCTCTTTCCTGCAGCTTGCTCACTGCATACCCTGTACATATCAGCAGCGTGCTCCCGCTCCCACCTCCAACAGTTTCTTTTTGCAAAGACACACAAGGAGGTCCCGTGTAGACACACAAACATGACACACTTAGATGGTTGCTCGCAAGAGCTAGGATCAGAATGAAGTCACACTTTACACGCATTAGCCCTTGACTGAAAAAAGCGCAAAAGGAAGGTGGTGGGTCCGCGGATTTGAAGGTGTTATAACAATGTTTTTTGGACTGGACTGCTGGAGGCCTTCGAGTTGGTTAAAAATTCGAGCAGGTACACAGAGCTGATCAGGCTCTGCTTCCAGCACAAGTGGATAGCTTCGTTGGGTGCAGTCTCCACTGTGCTCTGCACCCCCCTGCCTTGCTGAAATTCCTTTGAAGCAGGTGTGGACACACACACACACCAGGCCGCTATCGGCGCTCAGGAAGTTTAGTAGTCACCTAACAAGCCATAGCAAGAAAAAGAAAAGGAGGACAGAAAGAAAACCGAAAAGGGCAGGAGAGAAAGATAGGCGTAGTTACGAACCCCCTTAGTAATGAAACCTGCAAGGTAGTTACTGATTACTTAGCCGATCCCGCCTGTTTAAACACTTCTTTGAAACAGGTGTGGACTTATGCACACACCAGGCCGATTTCGGCGCTCAGAAAACTTAGTAGTCACCTAAAAAGCCTTAGCAAGAAAAGAAAAGAAAGGAAAAGACAGAAAGAGAAACCGAAGAGGGCAGGAGAGAAAGATAGGTGTAGTTACGAGGCCCACTAGTGACGGGGTCTGTTAGTTACAATACGTGCAGAAGTTAGCGAGCGGGACTTTAGTCTTATACCGGCCGGGTAGCTAGAAGTAGGACTGGAGAAATAAAAGGAAAGGCACCAACACACAAGTGTGTTGAGTGCGATTTCCTTCTATAACCCTAGATTGCGGGTGGGATAGCAACGGAGGCCAGGGGCCACACGCCGGCCTAGGTTACCATTTCCTAAGTACCAGGATGAATAGTAGGTTAAAAGGCCGTTGGGGGCCAACGCCTAAGGTTGGATGCCGTCGTTAGTAGGTGGAAGGTAGTATGCGCAAGCAAACAAAAGTGACAAATAGTAGGTTGAGGCCATCGCAAGGCCCGTTGGGGGCCAAGACCTAAGGTTGGAGGCCGTCGCTAGTAGGTGGTGGGTAGTACGCGCAAGCAAAACAAAAGTGACAAGTAGTAGGTTAAAGGCCATCGCTTTTAGGTTGGAGGCCGGCCATGACCTAAGGTTGGAGGCCGTCGCTAGTAGGTGGTAGGTAGTATGCGCAAGCAAACAAAAGTGAGCAGCAAAGTTGGAGGTCGTCGCTAGTGGGTTGGAGGCCATAGTACCAGGTCGGAGGCCAGTGCTACAAGGTTACAAGAAACACAAGACACACAAGACAGCCAAAGTTAGGGGCCACTGCTAGTGGGTAGAGGCCAAAAAGTTCGGGTTGAAGGTCCACGTGACAAGGTTGGGGGCCCACCTGCAAATCTATAGAGTAGACTAGAGGAAAACAGAAGGAAAGACCGACGCGCAAGTGTGTCGAGTACCATTTCCTCCTTTTTCCTAAGTAGTGGAGCAGGTACGCAGGGCTGATCACGCCCTGCTTCCCACCCTCGCCCACAGCTTCGTTGCGTGTGGTAGGGCGAGAGTGCCACGCGCGCCTGCTCCAAACCGAATGGTTCCCTGTGAGCCCAAGGGTTACACACCCACACACACACGGGCGCCCCCGTAGAGGGGGGGGCAAATCTGAAACTAGGGCCCAGACTAAGGTGTAGGTGCGCGCGCGCGCAGCAGAAAACAACTAGACGACGGTTGGCCCGAGAGCGAGACATGTAATTGTCCAGCACTGTCGAAAAGATGTATAGAAAAAGAGAAAGAGAAGGTGGATGTGAAGGAGTGACAGTGTGGATGTGCAGGTGCAATATAGATGTGTAGATGTACGGAGGTGGAGAGGTAGATCTGTGGATGTGAGCCTGCGAAGATGTAAATGCACAGAGACGAGAGAAAAGATATGTAGAAAGAAAGAAAGAAAGACAGGACACATGTGAAGGAGCGACAGTGTGGATGTACAGATGTAATATAGATGTGCAGATGTGTGGGTGTGGTGAGGTGGAGAAGTAGATCTGCGGATGTGAGCGTGTGAAGATGTAAATGCGCAACGTCAACCTTAGTTGTGCAAGTACAACGCTGAAGAGGTTCAAATAGAACTGAAGAACGTACATTTCACACTGAAGTTCCCACGAACAGGGCGACCTGAGAGTAAACGACGTCGCGATCATGACAAGCGACTCGTGCATTCCAAGTGAACATCGTTTGTCATGAAGGTGAAGTACACACATACTAACGTCACGATGACTCTTTTGTGGCAGCCACTTATGAGTAAGCAAAGTAGCTAAAATTTGTCACCCTCTCAAGAGAGCCGGGTGGTCGGGAGACATGACTACTCAGCCGCGAGAGTGACTCATCCGCGCACTAAAGTTGTACTACAAAGTCGCCAGTTCTCAGCATCCGG